TAAAAAAAAAAAAAAAAAAAAAAAGGTGGCTTGCTGAATAATCGGAAGCAATGTCATTTTTAGAGTGAAAATGTAGAATAAACTTCCAAATGAGAGACTCCATAGGACAAGATCTAGGCAGATAACTCATTTCTGTCTCTTTTCTACAATGAATGTAAATTTAAAATGATTTCTTAAAGTACTAGAAGTACAGCTGTGCCCAAAATCTCAAAGAAATTTTTTAAAACAAGGGAAAATAATTATATCATAATGCCTACAGGTTTGTAGAAAAATAGACAATATTTTAAAGAATAGATTCTTTTGTTACTTGTTCATATTTTTACACTGTCAAGGAGGTAGGTGATGTCATAGCTAGCTCGGTCAGCAGCCCTCCTGGTGGGCTTTTTCATGACTCAGTGACTCCGCGGATTCGGTGTGGTAGTTCACCCCGCTTCTAATGGCCGCCCGCGGTAGCCCGATTAGCTCTGTGTGGGCAGCTTTCCTGAGGCACAGTGATGGATACGAACAGTGCCACTACTGGAAAGAGAACAGAAATGTGGAGCCACTGGGCTAACGAGGGGAAAAACAGAGAAAAGTCGTTTATTGTAGATTTCAAAATTAAAATTCACATTCATTACTATATCCCTTATTGAAATTTTTCACTAGAGGACTGTAAACAGCAGAAAACTATTTTCCTCAGTGCTATATCTTTAGCAAATTTATATAGATAATAATAGTCCAACCCAAAAGAAAAATTATTATATATAATTATAACTCTGGGGGTAAAGTTCACACCAGGAAAAGTTGAATTTAATGCCATCAATATGCCATTCAAGTCATAGTAAGTTCACTTTGAATTCACATTAAATATCATTAAATAATATTGTACATTAACTAGTTTTTTAAAATAAGATAAATTTATTACATGTTTTTAATTTTCAAAAATTTTAACTGGTTAGGTAGGATATTTTATTTGTACCCAAAAGATCGGCTAATAAAAACTCAGTAGAAACATAGCTTCTAATACCTTAATTCTGATAGATGTTTAATATTGCTTTTTAATCCCATAATGTCTAGAATTATTTGATGATTTGTTTTGGGTTGATGATTTTCTCACTGATTTTAAAAGATACAAGATGGATCATTTTGTTCTAACAGCTTCGCCAGGACCACTTAAGGGTTTTTTGAAACTGTTTTTGAATCATTTAAACTATTTAACCATTTCAAATTACTTAAAAACTATTTCAAGTCCCTTAAAAAATTAATCTATATTTTAAAAAATGAGATATCCTGAAATAACTTAAATATCAAATATAGTGATTATTAAACATTTTAAACCCAGATGGGAAATTGAAAGCTACTGCAAATCCACCCAGTCTGGAGAATCTTTGAAGGGTGTTTTCCTCTGCTTATTTTCCAAAACTCACATCATTTTTCTGACAGGGGTATTTTTTGCACTTATTTGGGAAAATTTTAGTAATGAATGTTTAAAGAGAAGAAAATATCAAACATGAAAAGTTTAATATATTACTGTTGAACTATTTGGTTAACATTGGAGTTAGTTTAGAAATAATAACTTCTCGTAATTCTGTTTTTTCTCAGCAAAAGATGCTTGATTTTTCATTTTTACTGCTACTCTCTCACCCGAAAGTTGGCATCCCCTCAGAGGGGGATTTCCAAGAGACCATCTGGCAGCTGCCAAAGGTCAGAAGTGAAGCTAGCCAGTTCCTCCCAGGCAGGTGGCCAATATTACAGTTGACCTCTTCTGGTGTGGCTAAAAATTGCCCCATGCAGTTACAGGCCATCAGACCAGGGCCCAGGTCTCACCTGGAGGTTTTCTTGAAGGTTGGGAGAATTGCTGGACATTCATTCAGACACAGACCCTGGCTTGAAGCTCACTTAGCAGACTGGGTTTGGCCTGGCCACACCAAAGGAAGCCAGAGAGAGACTGATATCAGAGTAAAGTCATGAGAGAGGGATGGAGAAAATGAAAGCTGGTCTTTCACTGCCTATCTTCTTACTTATAGATATGCAGGTGTTCAGACTTCTGAACTCCAGGGGCATCAGATGAATTGGTTTATTTTCTGTGCATGAAGCCGAGCCATTGCAGCTGGCAGGAATGCAGTTGCTGGAAAGAAAGGCAGGTCAGAAAAGCATACAGGGAAGCCTGAAAATGACCTCGAACACAACTTACTTTCTAAAGAGTAGCCAGGCACTAGGGAGTAACTCAAACCAACAAGGCTGTCTTTGTGTGCTTCCTGGGCTCGTTGCTCTCGTTCTGAAAGATAAGTGTGCTGTTCTGTGTGCCTGTCTCTAATGTGCCTGTCCACACACAATGTACCCAAGAAAAGACATTATCTGTTACTTAATCCCATCTTCTGTGCTTCCTTCCTCAGGGGATGTGGCTAAGCCAACCGTCTCCATCTTCCCACCATCTACGGAACAGTTGCAGTCTGGAAGTGCCTCACTTGTGTGCTTCCTGAATAACTTCTATCCCAAAGATGTCAAAGTGAAGTGGAAGGTGGATGGTACTGAAAAACAAAATGGCATCCTGAACAGCCTGACAGAGCAGGACAGCAAAGACAGCACCTACAGCCTCAGCAGTACCCTGACACTGACCAAACAGGAGTATGAAAGCCACAGTGTCTACGCATGTGAGGTCACGCATCAGAGCCTGTCTACACCTGAGCTCAAGAGCTTCAACAGGAATGAGTGTTAGAGCCAGAGGCCCTGGGCATCACCACCTGCTACCCAGGCCCAGCCTCAACTCTCCCTCTTCAGGCCTTGGGCCTTTTCCCACAAATGACCTGCCCCTGTTGCAGTCCTCCAGGCCCCTCTCCCCACCCCATCCTCCTCCCTCTCCCTGGCTTTAGTCATGCTAATATTTGGGTGAGAATGAATAAAGTGAATCTTTGCACTTGAGATCTCTGTCCTTCCTCATTTAATGTTTGTTTCACATTGTTTTTCTGACTACCCAGTTTCTTTTCTAAGGAGGTAAATACTTAGTAGCCCTAAAATGTGCCACACTTATGAAAAAAAAAAAATCATCTTCATTTGCTGCACCTGACTGTCCTCTACAAGACAGTCCTCCCTGAAGCCCACATGTGCCTATTCACATCTCATCCCTCTGGGCCATAGTGGGTTGGTAGAAGCTTCTTTATTTTCCCCTCCTAAGCCCTCGCAGTCCTTCTGAAGGGTGGCAGTCCTTTCAAACACATATTTTGTGATCTAATTCAACCTCCTGTGAAAAGCTGGCAAAGCAAGGGACAGTCATTATCACAGCATGATATGAAACAACAGAAAGCAAAGACAACCTAAATCCAACGCATAATAGGGAAATTTCCAAACCCATCATGGCACTTGACCTTTATGAACGCTCATGCCTTCATGAACGTCTTCTGCCATGGGCAATGTTGAGCACTGTCCACAGCCTACTGTAGGTCTCACTAGACTGTGAGATTAAATAAGTTCATCAAAATTTTGGAAAGGTTCTATAAAGCTGAGAGACAATCATATATTATCAGCAATCCAACGCTTACATGACGGTGTCTGTCCATCAGATACCTTAAGCAACAATAAGAGACTCGTTTATGAAAGTAAAACTGGAAATAAGCAAAATGTCCACCAAGAGTTAAATTTTGCTATGTCCACAAATGAAGGAAGAGAATTAATAAGGTACAGTTGTACCAATAATAGAAATTACTCTCATAAATATGATATTAAGCAAAAGAAACCAAATAAAGAAGAGATGTTCTGGATATTTCCCACCCATCTAAGTTTAAAACTAGGTAAAAATTAAAATTAGAAATTGGTGCGAGGTAAGAGGAGTTGGTGGAGGTAGTGCCCAGGAAGTAAGAAGAAGGGGAATCAGGGTTGGGGAAATGTTTCTTAGTGCAAAGTATGCCACTTTGTGGGAATTATACTAGATTGTAAAATTAAGATCTGTGTTCTTTCTGAGTATGTTTTATTCTTCATAATAAGTTCACATAAAGAAATGCCTAATGCCCAGTTTATAGACAAAGGAGACAAGAAAGAATAAGTCAGAGGTCAAGCCCAGAAAGATGGTAAATGGGGGACCCAAGATAAAATTTTCACATCCCTAACTCTGCTTTCTTGAGCCCTCCATCTTGAGCCTTCCAGAGCTCAGGGTACAAAACGTAGATGATTTTCCTCCTCCATCTTTCTAACTAGAAACACCCATATATAAAAATGGGTTGGAAAAGATCTTTAGCAATAGGTCAAAGAACAGAAGTAACTTTGTCCAGGTGTAGAGAACCCACATATTGAAAGTTGTCTTTGGGACAAAAGAAGGGAAGCATAATACTAATTTTCATGTTCTTCCCCTTTTAATGTGGACTCCCTACGCCTAGTCTCACATCTGTTCTTCTGCCCAACACACATTTACTAAGTACCATCTCAGCCTACACTCAAAGGCGATACAAGAATAATTAATACAGAGTCCCTTCCCTCAACAAATACTTACTCCAGCTTTCCTACTCCTTCCCTTTCATAGTCAGTATTAGAGTGGTGGGAATGGACAGCCACCCAAAATCCAGATAGGGCAACACCTTGCCTTTCTGACTCTTGAGAATAATCATTATTATCCACTCTTTGAAACTTTAGAAGTCTGAGTTGAGTTCAAAAAGGTTCAATAATGCCCTTTTTGGTCCATCTCTGGGGACCAAATTTATCAATCAATAGCACCTCAATTCTGGCTGCGAATCTGAAGCAAGCCTCTTCTGAGAGGCAGGATTCTGAAGCCAGACCCATGAGTGCCCAAACAAGAGAAAATAAATCTTGTATGTTGAATCGTGTTTCTCAAAAATATAAATATTCAGCTCCTAACTCTGGGTGCACAGCCACTTAGATAATTCTGAAGGGCATTATGCTTAGTGAAAAAAAAAATCCAGTCTCCAAAGGTCATATTCTTCTTATTTAACATTCTTGAAATGACACCATTAGACAGAAGGAAGACAGATTGCTGGTTTCCAGGGTTAGGTATATCAAGGGGGTGTCTCAAGGAAGATCTTTGTGGTCATGGAATCACTCTGCCTGGATTGCAGTGGTGGCTGCATACATCAAGATATGTGGTAAAAATGGTATAGAACTGTATATGCACACTGTGCCAATGTCACAGTCTTAGTTTTGGTATTATAATTATGGAAGAAATAACCATTTGGAGAAAGTAGGTGGAGGCCATACCAGAAGTGAGTGAGCCCTAAAGCCAATGTTTGGTGTCTTTATAGAGAGAAGAAGACTAGAGGTCGAGAGGCATACAGGAAGAACACAATTTCACCATGGAGGCCTCTAGAAATTGGACCGGCATGGGTGCCAATCAAGGAACACCAAGGATTGCCTGGTGCCACCAGAGGCTGGAAAAGTGGCATGAAATGGTTTCTCCTTCAAAGTCTCCAGAGGAAATGTACTCAACCAGCGTGTTTGCTTCAGACTTCTGGCCTTCAGAACTGTAAGAAAAACAATGTCTGCTAACGAAAACTAGGAAAGCCCTGCCATGACAGCCCCCACATATGCAAGATGGTTTCTTCTCTCCAGGTCAGAGATAGATTCTCAGTACATTATGGGGCTTGCCCACCCCTGAGAGGAGGCGGAACAGGCCTACACCCACGGTGCAGAGCTGTATATCAACTACTGAACAGTAAATAGACCTCTTATATTTTTAAAGCAGTGTATGGATTACATTTAAATAAAAACACAGCAGCAGAAATGGAAACTTCTCCAGAGTGGCAGTGGAGTTTAGTGTCACAGATTGTGACAGTTCAGCAGCTAACCCACCACCTCCTCCTGTCACTGCTCAATCACCCACTTTACCCCAAGAACCTCTGGGTATGTGATTTCTCCCATCTGCGACTATAAGACAGAGCTGCATTGCTGACCTTGAAGTGTTTTTCCAGCTCTAATGTCTATACATCTTAGAGTTGAATTCGCTGTGGCTTCAAATGAGCTGTAGCTTTCCATTTCAGCTCTTTTTTCTATAAAAAGAAGAATTTTGGGGTGTGAAGGGGGGTAAAAACCCCTATCCCAAACTGAAAAGCTATGGCTTCTGTGGGAGGAATAGTCAGTTTTATTGAAGGGTGTGTCTCCTGATAGGACCACACTCTAGTAGATGGCCAGACACCTAGGAGTGGGTGATTATGAGCTGGGGTGGTGGCGCACACCTTTAATCCCAGCACTCAGGAGGCAGAGGCAGGCGGATCTCTGTGAGTTCGAAGCCAATGTGGTCTCCATAGTGAATCCAGGACAGCTGTGGCTACAGGGAGACCCTGTCTCAAAAAGACAAAAAAAAAAAAAAAAAAAAAAGAAGTTAGGATGGAAGGAAGGTGAATGTGGATCTGGGAGGAGTTATTGGAGGAATTGTGGGGTGAATATGATCAAAATATATTATATGAAATTCTCCATTAATCAAAATATTTTTTACAAGGAAGAACTTTCAGAATCAGCTATGCTTCCTAAAATTTGCATCTGAGAAAGTTAACAAGTTAAATAAATTATTTTGGAGAAAATGGTAAAGGAAAATAAAATAATAATGGAAGATGGAGATTAAAAATTGAGAAGGGGGGGTGGGGGATTAGAAAAAGAAAAAGAGGAAGTGTGGCTGACTGATGCAGGGTAAGAAGTGAAACAGGAAGGAGAAGAAACAGAGATGGATCCTTGTTTGCCTGTTTGCCCTTTATGCTATGTATTGGTAAAGGTATTGACAAGTCCAAATCATAACTTTTCACTTGTGTCAACCTAACAACTTTTGTTCTTTCTTGCACCTGGGCCCCCAGTAAGGTCATATCCACATCAGACCTTTTAACTTGCCATTTAAAGTGCCACTTGGGCTTGATAACCATGTGAGGGGAGAAGGAAGGAGGTTTTCATTAAAGTGGCGAGGTGGGAACCAATACTGTACTAAGCTAAATTATTGCAGAGTGGCCCCCAGAGCCTTAATCTGAGTGCATAGGACACAGCCTCTACAGGAACTCTGCAGCCCTCCACCCATCAGGTGAGCACAGGGGAGACACCACCCAAGGTTCAGGCAGCTGTTGCCTTGAGCTTGGAGAAATGTAGAGGATAAATATTAGGGTGGCTGCCTTTCCTTTATCATTTGTAATTGCCTGAAAAACCATGCTGAAAAATCATAACAGCAAGTTGCTTGGTTTTTGTGCTTCAGTTTTCTCACTTAAATGGTGAAGGGATCTCACATGTAAGCATATTGCAGGAATTGAATGCAGCAATTCATGTAGTGCTGAGCACCTGGGCTAGAATATATTAAGGGATCTGGAAGTGTCAGTCATCCTTAGAAATGAATGAGTAGGTCTAGTTAACTATTGTTTGACTTCCTCCTCTAGTTTGTTCTTTAGTCATAATTCTTTTGGTCCAAAGTGTCTGAACTTTGCATTAACTCACCCATGTCTCCAGTATGGCTACCCTAGCCCCACTACTATTTGTGAGCTCTGAACATGAGATAAGTTCATATTGCAATGTGATCCATGAGATAAGTCCATTTTGCAATGTGTTACAAGTATAAAACACAGCTGGGCATGGTGGTGCATGCCCTTAGTCCCAGCACTCAGAAGCAGAGGCAGGCGAATTTCTGTGAGTTTGAGGCCAATCTGGTCTATATAGTGAGTTCCAGGCCAGATGAAACTACAGGGAAAATCTGTCTCAAAAAGACCAAAAAGAAAATATGAAACGACAAATTTTGAAGACTTAGTAGTACAAAATGTGTCATTAATAAACCTAGTATTTTGTTTTGATTACATATAAATATAATAATACTTCAGCTATATTGAATTAAATATATTATCAATATTAGTTTCATAAATCTATTTTATAATATGACTTGTAGAAAATTTTTAACTATGTATTGGGTTCACATATTTCAGATAGCACTATCTAGATTATGGTAAAAGTGCTCT